CATTTTTCTTTCTCTTTTTTTTTAGGATTTCATTTTTCTGCCTCAGATCCCAGAGTGCTGAGGTTATAGACATGAGCCACCACAGCCAGCCAGAATAATATTCTCAGCTGCGCTGGCGGTGCTGGGGCACTTGGACTGTGAGTTGTTCCCATCTTAGAGATGAGGAAACAGGCTCAAACGAGTTGATGTGTCAGTCATGGGCTAGGGATGTAGCTTAGTGGTACAGTACTTATCTAGCACATGAGAGGTCCTGGGTTTTACAATATATAGATATTTTCCCAATCATACAGCTAGTTAACAACAGGATCAAAATTTGAACCCATGATCAAAATGTCCTTAATATTTTTACTTAGGCTAATTTAAAAAATACACATGGTTATATAATTATTTGGTATGGAGAGATACTACAGAAATACACTATTCTCTAGTTTCTTGTTCTTGGAGTCTGGATAATTCCACAACTAAAATATTTTGCTAAATAAATTAGCACCTGAACTGTTAGAATAATTATCAGACAACGGGACAGTCCTAGCCAGTCACCTTTTTTCTGAGCTGCACTTTCAAAGATCACTCAAATGTTAGGTGCTGCTTTGTACACATGAAACGTAATAGCTGCTATGCTCACCTCCAAGTGTTATTACCTGGGCCAAAAGAAATAACTAAACCAGGCATAGTGGCACACACCTGTAATCCCAGCACTCGGAAGGCTGAGGCAGGAGAACTGCTGCCAGTTTGAGGCCTGCCTAACCTATATAGTGAGCTGAAGGCTGGCATGAACTACATAGCAAGGCTCTGCCTAAGCAAGAAAGAAAAGAAGAAAGAAAGGGACAAACAACCAGGCTGGGCATGATGGCACACACCTGTGACTCCAGGAGGCCGGGAAGCTGAGACAGGAGGATGGGCAACTTAGCAACTTAGTACGACCCTGTCTCCAAAAAAAAAAAAAAAAAGTGGGATTGTGGCTGTGTAAAGGCTCTGGGTTCAAGCTCCAAAAAAAAGAACAACATAAATGGAGCCCCCAAATCTACCTTTAATGACAAATGTCACTGATTTATTTAGTGATAAAAATGTAGAATTAATGTACTACAGGTATATATAAAATCATGAGGACAAATGGGTAATATACTCCACATGATTTTTCAAAATGTTTTCTATAATGGACACTTTAATATAGTTGGAAAGTATCACTAGTAAAGTACTGCAGTTACTGGGTTTTGATAATGTCTGCTTTTGGAAGGTGTATTTGCCAATTCTAAGTTCCTTAGGTGAAATCTAAATTTTGTCTCAGAGTCTGTCAGGGGCAAAGCTAGTCCTGCTGAACTCATTCAGGGCTTTTTGCTGGGCGAAACTGAAATCCTCAAGCATTTTAAAGGTCAAAGGAAGCAGCAGTCGGAACTGTAGCTGATAATGGCATCCCCCAGCCTGAGGGGTAGAACTGTTTGCCTGGAACACCCTTCACCAAAGCCCACGCGGAAGGGAATGGCGCATGGCTGTGGGATCCGTAGCCACTGAAGGTAAAAGATCATCGCAGCTTTCCTGTTTGTCTCCTTTCCTTTGCTGCACTGAGCCACATCCCCCGCCCCCGCCCTCCCTTCTGAGACAGGGTTTTGCCAAGTCACTAAGTTGCCCAAGGGCGCTCACATTTGGGACCCTCTTGCGCCAGCCTCCCCGAGTGCCACCACAGCTGGCCTTTAAAAGCAATGCCATAGTATTAACTCCACATTCATAATGGCTGTCACATTCGAGCAGGTAAAAGACCCTGATGGTATAATTTGGACACCAAAAACTTACAGTAAGAAATGCCATCTTCCTCAGCTGAGTTGTTTAAAATATAACACTAGGGCAACCCATTGGGGACCCGTTCTGTCCTGAAGGAGCTATTCCTATTCCCTATTCCTTTTCTTCAATAAATTTTCCTACTCTTAAAAAAATAAATAAAATAAAATACATCACGGGGAGGCGTTGTGGGTAGTCCCATCGTCCTAATCACCACTGCCATGGTACGGACATCAGTGTCCTCACAGCGAGGAACAGCAGCAGGAGGGAACACAATGAGACAACAGCCTAGTCTAGGCTTTTAGCATCCCTTCCTAGACCCACACTATCCTGCACTTGTGGAAAGGAAACTGGACTTTGATCTGGTGCAAGCATCTGCACAATCTATCTGTCCTCCAGGTCAAAGGCAGGCGAGGGCGGCAGTTCATGCTCCAGACCTGAGTTCGGAGATGCCACCTGTCTCCAAGGAGAAAACAATTACACTTTTTTTTTTTGAGACACGGTTTCACTATGTAGTTCAGGCTGGCCTCAAACTCAGCGGTCCTCCTGCCTCAGCCTCCTGAGTGCTGGGATTACAGGTATGCGCCATACCGAGCCAACAATTACACTTTTAAAGTTCCATTTTGCCATACAGGTTACACTTGCTGCCCCAGAAGCTGAGATGGAAGGGTCGCCTGAGCCCAGCCTAGACTTCATAGAAAGACCCTGTCCAAAAAAAAAAAAAAAAAAGTACTGCATCAGAGAACCTCAGAACTGCAAAGGCAATGAAAAATCACAAAAACCCATAATACATACCATTAAGGAAATTGTCAGACACCACTGGAACAAGGATAAACTCCTGGACCTTTAACCTGTTACTCATTAAAAGCAGGATTTTTCTTCTGAAGCAGTCAGGGACTTAAAACCTGTTTTTCCTTAAAACAAACAAAACCACCACCAAAAAAGTGGACTTTTTACTTGGGCCTACAGATGCCCAGAAGATAACTAAAGCAGGACAAAGCTTCACTTTTTAAAATCTTCACTTTGTATTTCTCTCCCTTACTACCTTAAAACTTTGGGTGAGATCCATGGTCACTATGGAGGCTTGCTAATCATTTAAGCAGTGTCTATCTAAAAGCTGATCATACATGATTAGCCCTAAATTTACACAACTTATTTCATCCTCAAAAAAGACTGAGGAAAACCAAGAGTTACAGGGACATTCAACTACCAGGAAGCACCCAGTCTCGTCTTAACCTAACTCAGATTCAAACATCCTCTCAAAGTTAGGATTGTCCCAGGCAGAAACAAACATCAGCTGGGTATGGTGACCCATGCCTGTAATCCCAGCACTCAGGAGGCTGAGGCAGGAGGATCATTGCAAGTTTGAGACCAGCCTGGCAAACAAAGTGAGCTCAAGGCTAGCCTGAACTGCATAGCGAGACTCTGTCCAAAAAAGACAAAAAAAAAAAAAAAAAAAATTAAAAACAAAACAAAACAATCACTGGATGATGATGATGAAATGACAAGGACTTCTGCAGCCATGCTGCAAAACCAAAACTGAGTTAATGACAAGCCAGCACTCATCCCACAGGTGGTGGGACTGGCTGGGCTGAGGAATGCTGGGGGGGGGGGTTTCTCACCCCTACTGTTAGGCAGAGTTAGATATTAGCAGGCCTGAGAGTCCAAGGGGGTCCCAAAATAGCATGTATGCCAGCTAATTAGCGACTTCAATGTGTAACACGTTTATAATCACTTGTTAGGTCTCAGACCTGAAGTGACCCCACAGAGCAGTGACATTTTAGGGTTCCATACTGTGCATATTCCTTTGGTTATCGGGCCACCTAGCCATCTATTTCCACAAGGCAAACAGCATTCCTGGGGTTTCTGTTAAATGCCTAGAGAAACATACCGCGCTCACTTACAAAGCACATAGTTAATCCCTTCCTTTTATCTTGTTCAAGTTCAGCGAACTACAATGATATCTGGCACCATCCAGTGGCTGTCTTTAAAGAGTCCTGTGAATAATTCCCAGGTCTGTAAACTTTTCATCACAGCAAAGAGTACCTCAATCGACTCAGGCTGCAAATCAAACCTAAAGCAGTTTGTCATCTACTTTTAGAGTTTGGATGACTTTAAAATTGTTTTCCTGGTCTTAAAAAATGACTCACTTGGGCCGGGGATACAGCTTAGCAGCACAAGCACCTGCCTGGCAAGCCCAAGGTCCTGAGTTCAATTCCCAGTACAAAAAAAAAAAAAAAAGACTAACTTTAAGAAGTTTAAAAACAATTTTGAAAATTTCTTTTTCTTCTCTAACTGTACACATATACTCCCTTAAGCATGTTAGGGGCTGGGGTTCAGTAGCAGAGCACCTGCCTAGGATGTGAGTGACCCTGGGTTTGAGCTCTAGCACTGAAAAAAGAAAAAAAAAATGATGTTAGAAGGGCCCATTTATAAGGTGTAGTATCAACAGGAGTGTGTCATCGTCACTAATCAAGTGAGAGGGCTGGGGATGTAGCTCAGCAGCATGGCGTCTGCCTGACAAGCCTGAGTTCGATTCCTGGTGTACACACACACACACACACACACACACACACACAAAGAAAAAGTGAGAGAAAACCAAGACTCTTCCTAGAGAAGTCTTCCAATAAGTCCTAGGAAAACCAACTAGCCAGTATCACAAGGAAAACAACTGGAATATAGGACGGCTCTGCCCCAGAGCAATCTAAAACAGAATCTCACTTTACATAGTAGAAAAAATGTCTGAGCCAATTTATAGAAATGTATTTTCTCAAATAATTCTTTGTTTTTCAAACTGGATTCCATCCCAACTGCTGCTTATACCAATGACCACTCCTAGGACCCCGCTGGAGGGTTTGCAGCTCACTGGAAGGGCTTGAGGCACCTGCTGCCAAAGCAGGGAGCTAAAGGAGGGACCACAGTTGCCCCTTAGGAATGGAAGAACTCTTTGAAGTGTGAATATGTGCGGGACACAGACCAAGGCTAATCCCCGATTTTCTGCTTGTTTTTTCTTCCCCAGTCCAGTGGTTAGAACCCAGGGACACTGTATCACTGAGACTATTTTATTTTCTCTTATTTATGTTGAGACAGTCTTCTATATAGTTCAGGCCAGCCTCAAGTTCGCAGTCTCCTTCCTCAGTCTCCCAAGTGCTGGGACTCCAGGTGTGCACCACCACGTCCAGCCCTCCCAGCACTCTTCTGATTTGTTTATTTTGAGACAAGGCTTCGCTAAGTTGCCAAGGCCGCCTTGAACTTTTGATCCTCCTTCCTCAGCCCTCAGAGTAGCTGGGATTACAGGCGAATGCCACCATACCCAGACGGTTTTCTACTTCTGCAAGTCACCCTTTAAATTAAAAATTTCTGTTCTGTAAATTTCCATTTGTCAAAAGATATGAGAGAAATTAAATTATATCTTCTCAAGAGAAGAAAAACAGTTCTTCATAGAAGTCTTTCTTTTCTTTTTTTTTTCTAGTGTCCTAAATGTCAATGATCACAAAAACTTCTGGTTTCTCTTCGCTGTAGACTTGCATTGCTGAGTATGTTATTGCTTTGACTTCTGTTCCCTAAAGTTAGGGTTAGAGAAAACACACATAAGAAGACATTAGAATCAGAATCATGAACTTTAGCAACAACTGGCAGAAATCAAAATTTTAGAATTATTGTGAAAAACTAAAAACCCACATGAATCAATTACCATATTAACCCAGTATTACATGCTGACACCATAAAAATGGAGCCGGCTTGTGTAAAGAAGAAAGAATGCTGAACTAGAGTTAGAAGAGTAAACTCTAACTAGGCTTTGGTTTCACCCAGACAGGGAAGCTCTCAGCAAAGATATTCCTGCCTCAGCCTCCCAAGTGCTAGGACTACAGGTGAAATGGGATTACAAACATATGCCTGGCTCAATTGCACTGTGATAAAAGTCTTCTAAATGATTTTTCTGCTTCCATTCGCATCTATTTATGATTTATCCTTTGTCATTTAAAAACTCAAATCAAGCCCAGCATAATCCCAGCACTTGGGAGGCTGAACCAGAAGGATCACGAGTCCCAGGCCAGCTTGGGCTACACAGCAAAACCCTCTCTCAAGAAAACTGGGGCTGAGGATATAGCTCAGAAGCACAAGCGCCTGCCTGGCAAGCATGAGGTCCCAAGTTCCATTCCCGGTACCAAAAAGAAAAAAAAAAATCTTAGAGCAAAGAAAAGAAAACAAAACCATCACCTCAAACAGCTCCTCTGATTAAAATACTGCTCTGGGCCCCCCCTCACACAAGAGTAATATCTGCATGCCCTGCTGCAGCAGGCTACAGCCCCATCTGACAACCAACCCCACTATTCCCCCTCAGCTCCAGCCACACTGCCCTTGCTGCTCCTTAATCTACTCTCAGCCTTCAGAGCTTCTCACGTGCTTGTGTGGGAAGGCCCTCTCCCCTCCCTCTGCTCATTCCCTTCTTCCTGGCCTCCACGCTCCACTCAAAAGTCGCTTCTGCAGACATGTCTTCTGTTTGTTTTCACTACGTAGTTCAGGTTGGCCTCAAACTCACAGCGATCTATCTGCCTCAGCCGCCCCAGTGCTGGGATTACAGGCATGTGCCACCACGCCCAGCGCACAGACGTGTCTTTTCTGACCACCCTTTCTCAATCCCAATTTTTATTTCATTCATTCATTCATTCATTCATTCATTCATTTTTGCAGTCCTGGGGATTGAACCCAGTACCTTCCCACTGAGCTGGAGCCCCAGCAACATTCCTCCCCACCACTTTTTCAGATAAGGTCTTACTACATTGCCCAGGCTAGGTTGGAACTCGTGATCCTCCTACATTAGCCTCCCAGGGCTCTGGGATGACAGGTGCACCCAGGTCCAACCATTCTCATCTTGCCCCTATGGCACTACTGGATTTATCAGCTGGAATTTTGTTTGTTTGTTTGTTTCTGGTACCGGGAATTGAACTTACGACCTTGTGCTTCCCAGGCAGGTGCTGTGCCGCTGAGCTAAACCCTCAGCCTCTTATCAGCTGGAATTATAACATTTACTTGTTTACATGCTTGGCTCTCTGCTCTCACTAGATTTTAAGTTTAGCGAGGGCAACGATCTCAATTTGTCCCGCTATCTTTACTTAACATACCTAAAATAATATCTAGGCAAGTATTTGCTGAATGTATGTCTGAAGTAATGAATGGATGGGATATGTATTAGTGGACAGAAGATAAGGGCAACATTAAAGCCAGGAAGATATTTTTAAACCAGGAAATGCTCCAGGTACCAGATTTTTTTTTTTACTTGATCATTTACTCAAAAATTAAGAAGTAGCCAGGCATGGTGGTACACACCTGTAATCCCAGCACCTGGGATTCTGAGGCAGGGGGATTGTTGTGAATTCAAGGCCAACCTGGATTACATAGCAGGAACCTGCCTCAAAAAAAAAAAAAAAAAGAAAAGAAAAAAGAAAAAGAAAAAGAAAAAGAGAAAGGGTAGTAGCAGGGCATGGTGTTACACACCTGTAATTCCAGCACTCTGGGAAGCTGAGCAAGGGTTCTCATGAGTCTCAGCCAGGACAACGAACAACTTAGCAAGACTCCATCTCAAAATAAAAAAGGGCTGAGGATGTACCTCGGTGCAAAGACCCTGAGTTCAATCCCCAGTCCTGGAAAAATAAGATTATTTGTATTGGGAAAGCCAGACAAGGTGCTCCACACCTGTAATCCCAGCACTCAGGAGGCTGAAGCAGGAGGACCAGAATGGACTACATAGCAAGACCCTGCCTCAGGGAAAAAAAAAACTGTGACAGTTGAAAATGATATGAAATTCAAATTTCAATGTTCGTGAATAAAGTTATAGTAAAACACAACCATACTAACTTAGGCACCGTCTATGGCTGCTGAAGTAACTATTCTTCCAGCGCTCTCGGCCACAAACCTTAAAACGCCTTTTACAGAAAAACTTTGCCAACTCTTGTTCTAATAGATTTAATGATTACAAAGTAAGGCCATACAGGCTGGCAAGTATAAAATCTAGAGACGCACAGGAGGTGGAGGGTGTCTTAGAGAATGTCTAGTCCCACATCTTCACTGTAGAAGAAACCAAGGCTCAAAGCGGCAAAGGCATTTTTCAATCACACAGTGCTCTGTAACATCCCTGGCCTTGGAGCCCAATGCTGACTCCTGCTCACCAAACCAGACCCCCCAAATCACAGCATTTTCCGCATCCAGACAAGTCAGAAAAGTTTAAGGAAAACTTATTGCGCCAGGCGTGGTGGCACATGCCTGTAATCCCAGCACTCAGGAGGCTAAGGCAGAAGGACTGTTGCGAGTTCGAGACCAGCCTGGGCTACAAAGTGAGCTCAAGGCCAGCCTGAATTACATAGCGAGACCCTCTCTCAAAAAGATAAAAAAAAAAAACCCAACTTATCACTTGACGCTAACTGAAGTGCACTGTCACATACTTGGGCTCTGTGGTAAGGAAGCATAAAGTGTCTTCAAGGGCTAGACTTTAACACATACCTGAGGATGCTTGGAAAGTGAAAATTCTTCTCCCCACCTTGATGAGAAAAGTTAAAAGACGATTAATGTTTCAAAAATATTATATTTAATCTCCATATATTTTAAAACAGCCTTATGAAAACAGTGTTTCAGGTACTAGAACGCCAAAAGAGAGAGGGGAAGCACAAGACCAAGATCACACTTTGATTTGTTAGCAGACACTGGTGTGGGGTCACGTGGGCTCAAGAGCCATCAGCTGCTCCCAAGGTGGACAGCTGTTCCCTCAAGAACAAGTGCCCAATACAATGAGCTTCTGGTGGGTCCTCAGTAAACACTGCTGAATGAGTATGATTTCATAATAGGGGACTTGGATTAAAATATTCACTGTGCTCAAAGGTATAGAACCAATTCAGTAAGATCTCCTGTGAAAAAAGCAGGTCAAGTAGCACCAACACAAAATATATTCTGCCAACATGGTCTGAGCTTTCTTTCCATGTTATGGCTTTTCCCCAAATGCTCACAACCTATACATAGAAAGCCCTCCAACTTGTCATTTTCTAGAACCTGGAGAATGTTCTTCTCTCTCCCCCTCTAACACTAACGTGTCAAATGACCATCAAAACATAGAATAGTAGAAAGAGCAGAGGACCAGTTCTAGCTCAGCCTGGGCAATTTAGCAACCTAGTAAGACACTGTCTCAAAATTAAAAAAAATTCTGGGCAGTAGCTTAGGACAAAGGCCCTAGGCCCTAGGTTTAATCCCCAATACGGCAAAAAAAGTTTTCTACTTCTGTTTAACTACTTCTTGGCTAAGTACTTCTGGAAAAGTCTGTTTTTTCACCTAATTAAATATTTAAGGAAAAAAAAAGCCAGGTGTAGTGACCCATAGCTATAAGCCTAGCACTCAGGAGGCTGAAGCAGGAGGATCACTACAAGTTGGAAAGCCAGCCTGGGCTACATAGTGAGTTCAAGGCAACAACCCAGTGAGACCCTGTCTCAAAAAGCTAACAAGTAAGTGAATAAATAAAACCTAAAATATTTAAGTGCTTAAAGAAACAAGAAAAAGTGACAACTCTGGAAGGAAAGATATAATTTGTATAGAAGGAATTGGTTTGAGTGAGTCTAAAAATGAGAATTTATGAGAAAAGATGAGTCAGTTTTTCCCATAAAACTGGGCTTTATGCTATGCCATTTAGCAATTACATAGCTGTATTTCTTCCTCTTGCCCCTTAAAATCAAACTGGGATTCAGGGGGGTACGTGTCTGTGTGTTAGTTACTGGGGACTGAACCCAGGGGTGGGGGGTAGGGGGTGGTGTGTGTGTGTGTGTGTGTGTGTGTGTGTGTGTGTGTGTGAGAGTTACTGGGGACTGAATCCAGGGCGTGTGTGTGTGTGTGTGTGTGTGTGTGCGCGCGCACGCGTGTATGTGTGTGTGTTAGTTACTGGGGACTGAACCCAGGGCTCTTACTGAGCTACAGCTCTTACTAAGCTACAGCCCCAGCCAAGTTTTTATTTTTCCTTTGAGACTGAGTCTCACTAAGTCACTAAGTTGCCCAAGGTTAGAACTTTTGGTCCTCCTGCCTCAGACTCCCAGGGTGCTAGGTTTACAGGCTTGCACCACCATGACCTGTGGGAATTATGTTTAACAACCAGAGTCAACCTTATTCTGACAAGGGCTGGGTCCTCCAAAGCTCAAGCAACCCTCACACCTTGGCCTCTCATAAAGCTCAATCTGCAAGGCCCAGCCAAATGCAAATAGTCCTCTTACTTCACAAATGTTAACTGTCTGTCTGTACGGAGTTTGGTAAGGAATGCAACTTTAAAATCTTTCTTGACTTGCTACTTAAAGAGTTTTAACTTACCCAATTGAACGTAACTTGAAATTTCTTTGATCAATACTAAGTACTTTCACTTCCTAAAGAGGGGAAAAAAGTTTTATTTAAAAAAAATTCACATTAAGCCATTTACTAAAACATGACTAGATTGCCATTTTTCCTAGAAAATCGCATGCCCAGAGAAGATCTTTGTCTTTTTTGTTGTTGTTTTTTTTTTTCTTTTTTTTTTCTTTTTTTTTTTGAGACAGGGTCTCACTATGCAGTTCAGGCTGGCCTTGAGCTCACTTTGTAGCCCCAGATGGTCTCAAACTCACAATGATTCTTCTGCCTCAGCCTCCCAAGTGCTGGGATTACAGGTGTACGCCACCATGCCCGGCCTGAAGATCTTTGTCTTAAACCCCAGAAAATCTCAAATTCTGTGAGAGAGTTTTGATCCTCCTGGAGCCCTAAAATCATTCCATTTGTCTCTTTTACCCGACCTTCACCTTCCACTCATTCCGGAGTGCGGGCCTCACCAGTCTGCAGTAACTAGGGGATAATATTAATGCGATAGCCCTCAACTTTAAAATATGAATTAAGAGCCCATTTGCTCAGTGAAAAAGTAAAACTGTTGCTTACCCGGGGTATGAAGAATTCATCAGCACTGAACTTATAAAGCCATTCATCCAAAAAGTGGAACAGAAGAGACTGCAAGTCATCTCCTACAAAGATTAAAAAGGGTTGTAACAGTGTAACATTTAATAACCTTGGTCTCTAAAACCGTGTTTCAATTTTAAAATGCGATGAATTTCTTAGGCTAGTTGAAAAAGAAAAAATAAGTTCATAAATCAGTTTTGTTCTTCTTGTAAAAATATACTCAAGATAGAAAACACTGAACATCTGTAGCATGACTTTTTCCTTGTGAACAAATAATTACCTTGGGCTTCAACTTCTACTGTCTGGAGGGGCTCCACAGTCCCAATGTCTGTCATGTAAGCGAACATGGCCATGGCACACTGCTCGAACGCTTCCTCCAGAGTCTCCCCCCATGCGTGTAACCTGGAGACACATACATGTGCTCTGTGTACATAATCCATAGCAAGAGAGAAAATGCGACAGCAAAGTCCAAATAAAATCAGCTTGAGAAATACAAAACTAAAGACATTTTTTTTCCTTTTTGTAGTAGTGAGGATTGAAATTCAGGGCCTTCACGCTGAGCTACATCCCTACCCCTTTTCACATTATTTTACTTGACAGAGGATCTTGCTAAACTGCCCAGGCTAGCCTCCAACTTCTGATCCTCCTGTCTCAGCCTCCCAGAGTACTGGGATCACAGGCATATACCACTACACCTGGCTGGAAACTAGAAGGTTTTAAATCATCATTTTCATGTTCAAAACAGAAGAACCACAATGAAAATAGAAAAATCAAAAATCAAAACTAGGGACACCCAGATTAAAATATTTAACTTTCCTACTTAATGACAGCTTCCAAGGAATAAAGTCCAGTTATACTCACTGGACATCTGCTGTATGATCCAAATCTGAAGGAGAGAGGGAAAAATGTACGTTACTAAACTTGATTCTCAAAAACACAGGAAAGTAACTCGAGTTCATTATTAAGAACATCATCCTTGGGGCTGGGGATTTAGCTCAGTGGCACAGCGCCTGCCTGGCAAGCGAAAGGTCATGAGTTCAATTCCTGGTACCAGAAAAAAAAAAAAGAAGAAAAAAAAGAATATCATCCTTAAAGAACAAGGAAACGTGAGGTAGCCCACACGTCTGCTAAACAGACAGATCTTCTGCTGTCCAGTTACTGCACAAAGTTAACTGCTGTTAGAGGCTAGCTTCTTTTGTTCTTTGGTGGTATTTTGGTTTTTGTTTAATTTTTTGAGACAGGGTCAAACTTGTTACAGAGCCTCAGGGACCTACAACTTGTGGTCCACCTGCCTCAGCCTGCACTCGCTGGGACTACAGACACGAGCAATGGATGATCATGATTTTTTATTAATGCAAAGTTTTACATTTAAATGACTGACATTTTCTGGAAGGCAGCAAGGCCTGGGCCTTTTAGGTGTTGTGAAAAGTACCTAAGCTGAGCATGGGAGCACACTCCTGTAGTCCCAATAAGAGGAGGCTGCTTGGAAAGGACGACTTGAGTCCAGGAACTCAAGTCCGTCTGGATAACACAGAGGATCCTAACATCTTTGTTTTGCTTTTTAACGTACTAGGGATTGAACCAAGGGCTTCACACAAAGGTACATCCCCAGCCCTTGTTTTAATTTTTGACTCTGAGCTAGGGTCCTGTAAGTCACAAAGTTACCCAGGCGGGGCTCAAACTCCTGATCCTCCTGCCTCAGCCTCCTGCTGAGATTACAGGTACATAAAAGTTTTAGAAAATAAAATAAATTGAAGAAAAGAAGAAACTTCACAATATTTTACATTTTCCCAATCTCACAGGATAAAACATGACAACTTCTCCTATACCATGCTCCAGCGGATCTGTTACCTCAGCACTTTCAGAGCCTATTCTTCATGCGTATTGTGACTTCTATCAACTCTTTCCACTTAGCATCAAAGGCCTATTAGAACCTGAAGGAATTCTTGGTGATTTAACAAAGTTCCTAGTACACAAAAAGGAACTTGACATCCAGAGAGACTACAGGACTACACTGTTGTGTACAGGTAGAGCTGGAAACAGGAATAGAAGTTCTCTTGACTCCTGTTAGTGCACTCTGCACCACAGTGCATAGTCTTCTGGTGGTACTCAAAGTACAAATTCATCACTCAGAAATACTGAGGACTTAGAAAGTTGCAGGCACTAAAGGTCTCAATTATCGGGTTAATAATATCCCTCAGTTATTTCAGACTCACTAGGTCCATAATCTCCCAAATGAGTATACCAAGAAGGCTAAATAAAAGGCAAATGGAATGATTTCAGGGCTCTAGGAGGATCAAAGGCTCTTACAGAATTCAAGATTCTCTCAGGGCTAAGACCAAGACCTTATTTTTTTGAGCTAGGGTCCCACTAGGTAGTACAGGCTGGTCTTGAATTCACTTATACAGCCCAGGCTGGCCTAGAACTCATGGCAATCCTCCTGCCTCAGCCTCCCAAGTGCTGGGATTACAGCCACCACACCTGGCTACAGTTTTTAACATTTTAAAATTTTTTCTCTTTTATTTTCATACATTTTACATGTAACATTCATCATAGGGAATTTGCACCTGTACAAGGTAGATCTTGCTTTTTTTCCTATTCCCTTCTCCTCCCTTCAGCCCCTCTTCTCTTTATTGACAAAAGCTTTCTTTCCATTTCTGGCTGTAGTTTTTTATTTTTAACTGTAGTTGCCTTTTGCCCCATTCAAGGGGTTAAGTGGAAAGGGGCAAGAGCCAACATTCTAGGGTGATAGAAGTGTCCCATACCTTGACTGGAATGTATCTTCATCTGTTTTTGTTTTCAATTTTTTTTTTTTTTTTTTTGAGACAGGGTCTCATTATTTAGGGCAGGTTGGCCTTGAGCTCACTATGTAGGCCAGGCTGGCCTCAAACTTCTGGCAACCCTCCTGCCTCAGCCTCCGGAGTGCTGCGATTACAGGCATACGCCACACACCCAGTTCCTTTTATTAAATTCTTAAGACAGGGTCTTCCTAAATGGCCCATGCTGGGCTTGAACCTGCAAACCTTGCACCTCAGCATCTCAGAGTTACAGGTATGTGTCACCATCCCTAGCTAACATAAATTATGTTTTATGGAAAATACCTGTATTGCCCAAAATTTAGAAAAGTGGCAGTGTTTGGCTTTTTGTTTTTTCTCCCCTTCTTTCCTTCCTCCCTTCTTTTATCTTTGTATGTGCCCTACCACTGAGCCGCAGTTCCAGCCCTTTAAAGTGAACTGAACTTGATGACACACAACTGTAATCCCACTACTCTGGGAAGCTCAACCACGATGATGGAAAATTCAGGCCCAGCCTGGGCAACTCAGAAAGACCTTGTCTCAAAAAGTGAAAAAGAGGGGCTGGGGACTTAGCTCAGCGGCACAGCGCTTGCCTGGCAAGCGCAAGGTCGTGAGTTCGATTCCCGGTAGCGGAAAAAAACCAAAACCAAAAAAAAAAAAAGTAAGAAGAGCTGCTAATGTAGCTCAGTGGATAGGCACTGGGCTCAATCTTCCATAACACATACATACACAAGCGTGTGCCCACGCGCGCAAAAGAAAACACTGCACTACATCTTCTCTTGTTTTTATTTCTTCAGTGCTAAGGACTGACCCTAGGTTCGTGACAAGTAAGTGTTTTACCACGGAGTTACACCTCCAGTCTACATTCATTATTACTTATCCTCAGAAGACGGAACTGAGACAGGACAGGTAATGAATGTAGCTTGCCTAACCACTACGCTAAAAAATGGCAAAACCAACTTTTAAAAAAATAACCAAAGATGGAGGTTTTACACAAAGTTAGAAATCCCTTTATCACTGCTGCGAAGCTGCACACACTTGTAATTGCAGCTACTCAGGAGATTGAAGCGGGAGGATCGAAAACTCGAGGCCAGCCAGGGCGATGTAGTTCAGTGATAGAGCAACCATGGTTCAATCACCAGTACCAAAAAAGGAAGGAAAACGGGGCAGGAAAGCGAGACGGAAAAATGAACAACAACAACAAAATTCCCTTCTTAGTTTTTCCCACTCCCCTAACCTGGTCACAATCTAACTTTCCCACTATTGAGAGACACAAGAGACAACCTCGAGAATTCTTCAAATACAAATCTCAGCGGTCGTGGTGACACACACCCGTAATCCTACCGAAAGCTGAGGCAACGAAGATCACCCAGCCTGGGTAATTTAGAGGCTTTACGACACTATCTCAAAATAAAAAGTGAAGCAGTAGCTGGGAGATGTAGTTCAATGCGAAGGCTCTGGGTTAGATCCCTAGTACCGGGAAAAAAGAAGAAAAATAAAATACAGTGATGTTTACAATTAGTGCGCTAATTAAATTCACAAAGAAAAAAAATGTAATTAGGCACACGTGGAAAAAGTTGAAGAGACTGCAAATGTAGGCGCCCACGTGTCCTGACTCGCAAGCCAGGCGGCTTCTCCCTGCATCATATCCCGGGACAAGTACAAGGCTCCCGGGCGCACACGGGGCACAACCGGATTCCGCCAGAAACACCTGCGGGGCAAAGGCGATGGCCAGGTTGGAAGCAGCAGGTACACAGCCGGGCACGTCCACACCTGAAGAAAGAAGTGAGCTACCTACTCACATTCATACTTCCGAATGACTGGCGGATACTTGGCCTTGATTGCTTTTTGGTCCTCAGTTAAATTGTAATCTCTAACATCTTCTTCTTCCTGCGCCATGATGGTAGAACTGAACGCGCTACTTCCGCCCTTCATCTGCCGGACTTCGGCCCAGCGTGACACCTTCCGCCGTAGGCCCCGCCCCCTCAGCGAGTCCTTAAAGGACTAGGGCTCGATTCTTGGAGCTCACGAGGGCTTGTCAGCCCCTAACGAGTCCATCTAAATTGTGCTGCTTGGATTGTGTATTTAAAGAATAAGGTCCCAGCTTCCGTGTTTGTTTGACTTTTTTTCTAAGGACCGAAAAATCAAGTTGACACCTTGATTAACACACTTCTGGGTCTAAATGGCGAGGCTTTTTCTTTCCGCCTTGTCCCCAGAGTTAAAACTGGACTCAGAAGCATTTTAGGTTTTCTCATGGCAGTACCATTCTCGGAGAAGGTCTTGAGCATACAGTAATCGCCCTTAAGAAAATGGCTGCCCCCGGGAGTGTGCGGCCTAAACCTCTCACGTGATCGGTATGGGCAGCGTCCCTTCGGCCCGGGCGCGCGCAATCTGGAAATCTTCTACGGGGGTAGGGGGAGCGGAGCGCGCGCCCAGGCCCCGCGGGAAGCAACTCCACGTAGCAGGATTGGCGGAGGATGCGCTTTCCCCGCCCATTCCGCCTTTCGGTGCGCTCCGGTTGGTCGATGTTGGCGCGAAGGCGCGCGAGCCCGCCCTCGCGCAGGGACCGCAGGAAACAATAGAGGCCGCGCGCGCAGAGCGAGCGCCCGCAGCCTCCCGGCCCCTCCCGCTTCGTTCGGCCTCAGGGTCCTCCCGGCTCTCCTACCGCCATGGCTGACAAGGAAGGTGAGGGTGCCGGGGGCGTCCCAGGAGGGCGGGAGGTGCCGGGACTGCGTCGCGGCCTGAACACGGCCTAGCAGGGAGGCAGGCCCGGCGCAGCCCCTGACACCGCAGGCGTGAGGAGGGAGCTCCCGGCGGGGCGGGCCAGCGGC